AAAACCCAGTGCAAGTATCCCCAGTCTCCCTACTAACACACATCAGTTGATAAGCTGATTTCACCGTAAAATTCCCCTTCTCCGACTTAGTCCAAATCCACCTATCCGAAGTATCATTTCTAGGTAGTGGAATTTTGAGTATAGCTTCAACATTATCTGGTTGAAAGATTAATCTAAGACTGTCATTCTAAACCTTTAAACTGGGCATGTAAAGATGATAGTCTAAATAATATGATTCGTAATCGAGAGAATAAAGTTGGGCGCTTTATTCATGATAAGATTGTTATGTTGTCTACTTCCTAACGGAGATGGCTTGTCTTGGTTGTCGAAGGTTGGACTCCATGGGTAGAGACATTTATATAATTCCTAGTGGTGGAATCTATATTGCATCGGGCCAAAGTTGAATTGTTTTAATTAATAATTCTATTTGAATAAAGCAATTCATTTTTGATGAATTATATGTGGTCATCTTAGTCCTGAGATGGATAATGAACCCCTGTGCTTGACTTGTATCCTTTGATGTACTAAAGGGAGATATCCTAACATTATATAAAGGTACGTTTACTGGTACGTTGGGGGTATGACTCTTGTGTGAGTAGATTCATTGTTCATAGATAGTAAAATCCATAGCTCCTATAAAGAGTCAATGATGTCCTCTTATGCACTATCTATGGATTGGAAAATAAGAGCACTCGGCCATTAGACTACTCTATGTTTTCTAATGGTTTACTATTTGTATCACTATGGATAGTGATTTTCCGATGGAGTGGTAATGGAGACATAAAATAAATATAATTGAGAAAGTAAAACGGAACTTGACCTTAAGTTGATTATGGATATCCTATGGGGATGATACACTAATATAGTGTATCATGGACGAGAGCTATTCGGAGCTTTGTAAATATGTTATATGAATCAAGAGTGCAGCTCTAGCCTTTTAGTGGAGTAGCGCTAAAGTTTATAATCATGAGATAGACTTGCTGAATTACAAGTACTGTTGTGATTATAGGAGATCGATTTGTATATGTCCATCGGGTCCCTTTGCTAGCTCATATAATTTTCTGTAACGATACGGTGTATTTCTTACATATTGATAAATTGTGTTATTTCCGTAATAAGGTTCAAAGTTAATTAGAGATCGGTTGATTAATTCATAAGTAATTTATCGAGTGAATTAATTGATAAATAAATTCTAGATAAATTGGTTGAATTATTATTTTGAGTGTTATTTAATATAAGACTATTATATGACTATTTTGATCGTGTAACTTTCCTATTGGGTTGCATGAATAAAAAATGAGGCTCTGTACAAGTTTTTCGTATTGAAAAGTCTGAGAAACAAGTTTTCCTTAATGGTATTGGCCAACCGGTGGGTAGTCCAGTCAGTATACACCGTGCGACCGGTGTGTGAAGGGTGGTCGACCGGTGGATTATAACTACTCTGCCACCGGTTGACCGGTGCCAACGCGCAACGAGGGATGACGTGGCAAAACTGACTATGTACGCAAGATAAGCTTTGGAAAACTAAATTGTTGCAAGAATATGACTTCCTAAACACTATAAATAGCCTAGTAAGTCACATTATTATGTAGATCACTTGAAAGACCTTTTAGGGGCTATTGATGAAAGATTCCTGAGATGAAAAATTGTTCAATTCTCAAGAACGATTTTTCTTTTGGCTCTCTTATGGTTGGAAGGAGTTCAAGAATACTAAGGGGAGATTGAACGACGTGTGCCCACTCACATTCCAATCGTGAAAATGAGAATAAGAAAAAAAAAAAACCAATCAGTTGAGGCTCTTCAAATTGCTATTTAGAACGCTTTGATCAACCCCAAAAAAATTCATTGCCATAAAAATTCTTTTCTTTGGAATATTGTTGGGGTTGCCGTGACAAGGACGACAACAATGAGCGGAAAAGGGGCCCACTGGGGTGTCGTTTTTGCGGTTAAGGACTTTTCCCGTGACACAAAATATGCGTGGAATGTGAATCATGTGAGCTTCCCCGTCTCATTCATAGGCCATGACCCTCACAAGTCACACCCACGTTAGTCTGGGCCCCATGAAATTCCACATTTCTATTCCTCTCTTCTTTTTCATTCCTTTCTTTGTCACTTTGCATCTCTTTTTTGGCTCAAGAATTTTTCCATTTCCCTGACCGCTATACAATAGCTTTCTAGACAATTGATTATGTTTATTTTGTGTAAAAAAGAGGTTTCTATACCAACAATGCACGTTTATTAATGTTAAATTTGATTAAAATCACATCAAAATTTAAAAAATATACATAACTAATATAATGGTTCAAAACGAAACCATACTGGTAAATCATTTTTTTCTAACCAATCACGGAGTTTAAAAAATATTATTGCACGTTGTATTTTGGTATTTTTCTAACTTAGAAATGGGGAAATTGGAAATCAAGATTCGGCAAAGACCACGGAGAGTAGGCATTGGCCAAAAATGATTTTGTTTCCACTAAGAACATGAAGAAAAAGAGTTGTAGAAAAAGAGATTTCTTTATGTATAAATGCTATGGCTGTCTATTTTGGCACTAATATCTCATCACATCTTGATCAATTACAGTAATTTGACGGTTATAGATAAAGCAACAACTTTTCCATCTTTTTTTATAAAAAAAAAAGGGAACAAAAATCGAATATGTGATAGCAACAATTGTGAAAAGGAAATAATCTTCAAGTAAAGTATGTAGAAACAATATTAAAGTTAGACCTTCAAGTAAAGTGAGATACAAGAGCAACAAGCTACAAGTTGATTAAAGTTATTCCAAACATACGAAAAAATAAAACAATGAGTTATCATCACCAGGTTGTGCTTTGTGCTTCAATTTGGACTATAATTTGGGTAATCACAGTTGTTTTTTTTTTTTTTTTCCTTTTTTATCTTATTTATTATTTTATAATTAACACAAAGTAGAGGTTATCAAAACAAGACAAATCAATAGTCCGTAAAGATGAGAGAGATTCTACGGCGGGGCACCTTATTGTATCTAATAATAGGGTCATTAATTGCGACCGTAGACTTTAAGAGCTCGTTTGACGTTACTTTTAAAGGCTACTTTTAACTTCTTTTAATATGTTACAGCAGGTGCACGTATCTGGTAAATCTTATTTTTATCCAATAGCTTCTAAAAATTGTGATTAAACAGTAAAATTTGAGAAGCATATCATGGGTTACTTTTACACAACTGCTTTCACTGTTATTATCTAAATTTACTAAAAGAACCTTAATAATAAAATTAAATTCTCTATTTACCTATTTTATTTTTTCATACCAAATTAAAAAATATATACTTTTTAAATATTTATTTAAAAATTATAATATTTTGTAATTTTGCCCAAATATAATAACAAAAACAAATAATAAATATAACAATTTATTTTTTATCAGTATTTTGAATAACAAATTAAAATCGTATATTTTTCATAGTATTTTGGTGTAAAAATATTATGAATATTGACCTTAAAAACAGAAATGAAATTGAATATAAATATGTATGCTATATTATGTCTTTTTTTAGTCATTATATATCTGCATAGTAATTTTATACATGTTTACTAGACACTTAAATTTTTACTTCCGGTATGAACAACAACTTTAAAAATAAATTTATCAAACACTTACATATTTCTGGTCACAGCAATTTCTGACTAACAGTACAATAACAAAAATTTTCAACAACACAATAATGTCAAACTGGATCTAAATCATATCATGTATATTATTACTGTGTGGATTCTGTGAAAGAATCTTTTAGGCAACACCATTATATACGCATTTTAAAAAAATCGAGATCTTACAATTTAAGTGAATACTCCTATCAATTGGGTGCTCCTTGGTTTTGCATCTAACTATTTGTATTGTTGCTCTTTTACAATTTTAATATAAAATAATTGTAACCAAAAATTGTTTATGCTTGAAACCAAAATCGTATAAAAAAAATTTAAAAGTTATTGAATTCCACTTAATATTCAGTATTTAGCATTAGCTTTCAAACCCAACACTCCCGGAATAAGCAAAGAACAAGTAGTACTTACCATTTAAGTTACTATTTTTAACAAAGACAAGACCAACTATTTTAGCAGTAAGAGAGAAGTTAAATTGCTACTCTATCTACATACATCATATATGTAGACATGTGATAACATAAAGGCAGACCATTATAAAACTTTTATCAAAATACATATAGATATACATTAATATAATATTCATAATATGGCGTAACATGCCTCTCCTTGATTGATGGACTGATCACGGGACACAAAAGCGTTCCATCGTAAATGTAAGAGACAAACGTCATATATCAGACTTTAATTAGAGAACTTTTTCCTTATCTCTATTTACATAAACAAATAATTAATTTGGTTCGGCCATGCAAATGGCCGATGACTACGAAACAAAACCAAACCCCACAACACTCCCACTATAGTTTAGGGTTGAAACCATGGATAATAATATGGTATTTAACACTGAATAATTGAATATGTGATATTAAAGTCTCAAACTGCATCCGATAAATCCGACACTTTTAGCACTTTTTGTTCGATGTTATAAGATTGTTCGTAGTTTTATGTAACAATACTTAATTTGAGTGTAACATTCAATGTTATTAGTGTTGAACTGTATTTATTGATTATTATGCTGAAGTAAATTGAGTATTACCAATTGAGTATTACATAAACATACAAATGATATTTCTAATGGTGAATTTAAAATGTTACAAGCAGTTATATATATATATATATATATATGCGCGCGGCTCGTGTGTATGTGTCTAAAAATGGAAAGCGAATGAACAAGCACGGCCAGCGAAGAAGAAGCATGCTCATGCAAACGACAAAAGCAGTACAAATGCATAGTTTATGCGCTGTGCTTTTTTGTCAGCAAGTCAACACAAGTATGCAACGCACATTTTTGGCCTCCACCTCCAATCTTCCCAGGCGCATCAATATCTATCCCTCACTTCCCTCAACATTCTCTTCTCTCTCTCTCTCTCTCTCTCTCTCTCTCTCTCTCTCTCTCTCTCCCATTCTTTCTTTCATCCTTTTTTCAAAGCCATAAAACGCACGCAATACTCTCTAACATCCTCTGCATTATGATCTCGTGAGCTCAGTTTACAGTCATATTTATGTCGTTTTCTCCTTTCAGACATAATCTAAAAGCTTTTATTAAAACCCTGCTCGTACTAATTCAAACCTTAAACACAGCCATTTTGATGACAGCATTGTCAATGACGAAGTATCCCAGATTTTTTTTGTGTTTATTGCCATTTCTTCTTCTTTTTCTTCAAGGCTGCATTGGAGACAACACCATTGCGGTTCAGCTCAACGACGATGTTTTAGGCCTAATTGTGTTCAAATCAGACATTCAAGACCCTTCCTCTCATCTCTCTTCTTGGAATGAAGATGATGACACCCCATGTTCGTGGAAGTTCGTCCGATGCAATCCGGTCACCAACCGAGTATCAGAGATATCCCTCGACAACTTGGGGTTATCGGGAAGGATCGGGAAAGGGCTCGAGAAGTTGCAGCATCTGAAAGCATTGTCCCTCTCAGGCAACAACTTCAGCGGTGATGTTACTCCTGAGAAGCTTGCATTGCCTACTAATAGTCTTGAAATACTCAATCTTAGCCGAAATAGGCTTTCAGGTCGAATTCCATCTTCTCTTGTGAAGATGAGCTTGATTAGAGTTCTTGATCTTTCGGAGAATTTGTTATCAGGGCCTGTCCCTGATAATCTCTTTGATAGTTGTTTTTCTCTACATTCACTTTCTTTGGCAGGGAATTCCCTTGAAGGGTCTATTCCTAGTACAATCTCTAGATGTCTTTCTTTGAATAATTTTAACATCTCCAACAACCGTTTCTCGGGAAACCTGGATTTTGTTTCCGGCTTTTGGACATTGGAAAGGATTCGAACTCTAGACCTCTCGAGAAATTTGCTTTCAGGGTCCATTCCTCAAGGTATATCATCCCTGCATTACTTGAAAGAGTTTCTAGTACAAGGCAATCACTTCTCTGAAACATTACCTTCGGATTTAGGCCTTTGTATACACTTAGCGAGTATTGATTTCGGGGATAATCACTTCACCGGTGGTTTGTCCGATTCGATTCAGAGCCTTAACTCATTGACTCGTTTCGGTTTAGCAAACAATTTGTTGAGTGGTGATTTTCCTCATTGGATTGGTGAATTGAGAAAACTTGAGTACTTGGATTTCTCTGGCAATGGCTTCACAGGAAGCCTTCCATCAACAATGGGCGACATGAAATCGCTCATTTTCTTGAGTTTGTCCAACAACAAGCTCAGTGGAATTATCCCAAGTTCTCTTGGTTACTGCACAAAGTTGTCTGTGATCCATTTGAGTGGCAACAGCTTCAATGGGAGTATTCCAGAGGACTTGTTTGATCTAGCTTTGGAGGAAGCAGACCTTTCGAAGAACCAAATAACAGGCTCAATCCCAACAGGTTCGAGTAAACTATTTGAATCTCTCCATGTTCTTGATCTCTCAAGTAACAAAATAAAGGGAACTATACCAGCAGAAATGGGGCTGTTCTCCAACTTGAAGTACCTGAATTTGTCATGGAACAATCTTCAATCAAGGATTCCGCCAGAGTTCGGGTTGTTCAGGAATCTAACTGTGCTAGATCTCAGAAGCAGTGCCTTGTATGGTTCTATCCCAGGAGATTTATGCGATTCGGGGAGTTTGGACATTCTTCAGCTGGATGGAAACTCGCTTACTGGTCAAATTCCTGAGGAGATTGGAAACTGCTCATCTCTCTACTTGCTGTGAGTTTCACTTTTTTTTTTAAAAACAATTTCTTACTTCCCTTTCCTTCTTGTTAGTATTAGTAGTCAATGTGGTCACAACATTCAGCTCAATTTTTATTTTTGATGTACTTATAGCATCTCCAATACAATGCCAAATTAGTATGTGAATGCCAAATTTTAGCATTTGAGTACAAAAATCACTTAATGTCATGCTATTTTTCGTCTTTTTTTTTTTTCCCTTTTCAGAATTAAAGACGACGCTAACTGGGGTTCTTTCTTTATTTTCTTGCAGGAGCTTGTCCCACAACAAGTTAACAGGTCCTATTCCGAAGTCAATTTCAAAGATCAGCAAACTCAAGATACTAAAAATGGAGTTCAACCAGCTAAGTGGAGAGATTCCAATGGAGCTTGGAAAGCTACAATATCTCCTTGCAGTTAATGTGTCATACAACAGGCTAATTGGCAGGCTTCCTGTTAGGGGCATATTTCAGAGTCTAGACCAAAGTTCCTTGCAAGGAAACTTGGGAATTTGCTCACCATTGTTAAAGGGTCCATGTAAAATGAATGTGTCTAAACCACTTGTTCTTGATCCAAATGCCTACAACACTCAAATGGATGGTGGTGATCACAAGCACCATTCTGAATCCTCACCACTCACCGCGAAATCCCACCACAAACTGTTCCTCAGCGTGTCTGCTATCATCGCGATTTCAGCCGCTACTTTGATTGTCATTGGAGTTGTTATTATTAGTCTGCTCAACATATCTGCAAGGAAGAGGCTGGCATTTGTGGAAGAAGCCTTGGAAAGCATGTGCTCAAGCTCTTCTAGATCAGGAGCTAGTGTAGCAGTAGGGAAGCTCATTCTCTTTGATTCGAGGTCAACGTTAGAAGGACTTGAAAATCCTGTGTCTCTACTCAACAAGGCCAACGAGATCGGTGAGGGAGTGTTTGGAACAGTTTACAAAGTCTCACTAGGAGCTGACCATAATCATCAAGAAAGAACAGTGTTTGTAATCAAGAAGCTTGTCACATCAAACATAACTCAGTACCCCGAAGATTTCGATAGGGAAGTGAGGATTTTAGCGAAAGCAAAGCATCCCAATATAGTATCCTTAAAAGGGTATTACTGGACTCCTCAAATTCAGCTACTGGTGTTAGAATATGCACCAAATGGAAGCCTGCAATCCCGACTCCATGAAAGGCATCCTTCGAGCCAACCTCTTTCATGGCCTCAGAGATTCAAAATCTTGCTTGGAACAGCGAAAGGACTTGCTCATCTCCACCACTCAATCCGTCCTCCAATAGTCCACTACAACTTGAAACCGAGTAATATCCTTCTCGATGAGAATTTCAATCCAAGGATCTCAGATTTCGGGCTTTCCAGGCTGCTGACGAAGCTCGACAAGCACGTTATAAGCAACAGATTTCAAAGTGCTCTAGGTTATGTTGCACCAGAAATGGCGTGCCAGAGCTTGAGAGTGAATGAAAAGTGCGATGTCTATGGCTTCGGAGTCCTGATTCTTGAGCTTGTTACTGGGAGAAGGCCAGTGGAATATGGAGAAGACAATGTAGTGATATTGAGTGATCATGCCCGAGTTTTGCTTGAGGAAGGGAATGTTTTGGAATGTGTTGATCAGAGCATTGGAGATTACCCGGAAGACGAGGTCTTGCCGGTTCTGAAACTGGCTCTGGTATGTACCTCTCAGGTGCCTTCAAGCAGGCCTTCCATGGCTGAAGTTGTTCAAATCTTGCATGTTATCAAGACCCCAGTTCCACAGAGATTGGAAGTGTTCTAGTCAAGCATTTTGAAATGCTGTTTCGTCACATTTTTCTTTTTTCACTTTATGAGAAAACTTGTTGAAATTACTACCTTTTTTTTCACTTTATGGCTGATAAGGAGTCCTCTCTAATTGCTGAATTGTAAGGATTTTCCTTATCCTGTGTTGTAACAAGTTTGTTCTTCTTATAAGTTGCACTGCTGCTAAATATTTCATAAGTAGTGTTTCTTTTCCTTGTTCACATTGCTTCAAGTATGAAATTATTTCCTTTTATTGCTTTTTTGTTTGCTGAATATAAAAGGGATAATCAGTGTCATCAAGGCCTTTCATCCCCTCCTTCAATAGTATGGCTTCAAATACAATAAAAGTTGAAAAAAAAAAAAAAATGTTTTAGCCAACAAAAAATATTAACACCTGTGCTTGTAGTTCAAACCCCTACGAGACAAATGGAACTGCTCAAATATAATGTACAATGAGCGTAAATAATCCCTTCCAGTTTTTCCTTTAGTCGAATCTTAATCAATCATCTCCTTCCGAGAAAAAAAAAAAAAAACAAAGAAAATGAAGACTAACCATCAAATATCACGTCTTGTCAATTAAAAAGTGACTACTTAATTTCCCAACTATTACTTAGTTGTCCGATAATAAGCGTTGGAATGTGTAGTATTATTGATAAAACCACTCAAATTTGCTCACAAGTTTGATAAGCCTGCCTAACTTAAAAGAGCATATATACTAAAAAGTAGTGCATGTATGTATGTATATGGGAATTTTTGCATACACACATATATTTATACATCAAATGGGATTCTTATCAACCAAATCATCAAATTTCTATATAAAACATAACTATTGAAAACTCATATATATATATATATATATTACTTTTGTCTATACAATTCCCATTATAACTAAAGCAAAGAACAACACTCATGTCCCATGTGCAATGGATAGCAGTAGATGACAGAACTGCCAGGAAGTAATGCTGCTATTCCATGCATTTCCAAGCGGGAAATGGGACAAATGAATACTTGGCGGTCCCTGCAGTTTAAATTCCATAACGTTTTGGCATATTGGTTAAAGAAAAAAAATAATTAAAAACAAGCCCTTTGTTTAAAAAGAAAAGTGTACTCTGGAGTGATTCAATGGCAGCCTTGCAAGAAAAGTAAAAAAATGTTGGAAAGTTTTGATTACGCTATAGTACTTCTGGCCAGTTTTGGGGGGTTTTTCTTTCCTTTCTTCTTCTTCTTCTTCTTCCTTGTTTTTTTTTTGTTTTTTTTATATAATGGAATTGTGGGGTTAAAGTTAAGTGTATATGATTGTGGATTTTAATTATTGTACATAGTAGAGCATCATTGTGAACTCTGGACCGACATAATATACTCATAGATACAGAAAATAATGGATTCACATGAATAATTTTACATGATTGCCTTTGGAATTCGTACAACCATGCAAAGAATATTAGCATTGGGGACAAAATGTCACATGGGCTTGGTTCGAAATATATATATATATATATATATATACACACACACACACACATATCATATATACATAATATATAATGGGACCAAGAAAGTGTAAGGAAAAAAGATAAAGATAAAACCATATCCCCTTGTCCAATTTTAAGGAATTTTCTATTATTTTTTTATTGGCCAGAAGACGATGAGATTGGGTTGTGTATTTGAGTATGCGAACTTAGAATTTAGGGTGCCTATATCAAAGTACAAAGTAATGTAAAGGAAAGTGGATTGGGAGGAAAAGTAAAAAACTTAAGAATGAGAATGAAAATTGTTGCCTTTTTTCCTTTATAGTGTTTAATTATGTAGTAGATGAGTTGGGAAATAATCCAATGGTTTCTAGTGTTTATTATCGCTAAAATACATTTTAACATGATAGAATAAATATTAATTTATAACATGTAAACTTAAATAGGTAAGTAAATTTGACCTGATATCTTTTTATTAAGTAAGACAATATTAACGGGATATGAGGATTGACATTCTGTTCACTCACTTTTTATATTTTAGGGGCTTCACTAAATTCTCATTTTGATTTGGAAAATATACAATTTACTTGAGTCATTTCACAAATATGCTATTTATTAAAAAAAAACGTTTTAAAAATATGTTATTTATGTCCTTGTCCATAAAATTAATTGGTAAGTAGGGACAATAAACATACGGAAAAAATGGACAAATATTCTTTAAAAATGCATAGGTCTTAAATTTTTAGTTTTTATATTTGATTAATACCATTTAGTCAAAAAACTATATTAGTCAAAATGGTCTTAATTAAAAGTAAAGAGTAAAAATCTTAGAACTATACATTTAAAGAATAAGTTTACCAATTTTTTCTAAACATATTGGAGAAGAGTTGGATGTATTTTCAATAAGACCATCGTATTTCCTTACTCGTGTAATATGATCTTACATTCAAAAACCAATTCTCAAGAACTATATATGTAAATATATAAATATATATATATATATATTTCTAAAGCAAAATAACAAAGGAATGATGCTCTCCTAACTTTTAAAGTTACATCGTATAACTTCTTCAAATTTGTCCTAGTCCTCCAAATTTTGAAGATAAAAGAATCCAACGTCTCACGGAGCTAACATGGTATGGCTTTATGATGTGATCACATTATTTATGTCCTTGGCCCTATACCAGAATAGGGTGACAATAATATTGCATATATAGAAATAGTTTTTGCTTTTTGTATATATGGCAATACATATGTGTGTGTGGGTACAACAGACGACAAAGCCCGTCACGGGTCTCCAAATCTCCGTCGTATATCATATAAAAACAAAATATAATGTACCAATTAAAATATCAAACATCAAGATCAAGGAATCTGTATTTATAATAAAACAATAATTTGAGGAGGCATTTGCCAACCAAATATTTCATATCTCACCTTCTCTCGTGAATAAACATAGCTTTCTATGTCAGCCAAGGAAAAAAAGAAAAAAACACTACTTTCCACAAGAATATTAAACCAATAATTCTTAATTCTAACTTTTGAAATTCAAATTTTTTTGTGAGAAAAAACTATTGTAGTAGAATCAAAACTATGAGTTTAAACTCATGAAACAAATATGTTGAAGAATTTGAGTGTAGAGAGTGAAAAGAATGCAGAAAACAAGAGAGGGTTTGAGGCGTACAGGAATACATTCCTTTAAGGTTTTATTTGTCCTCACTTCTTAAAGTTTGCTAATGAGTTTTAATGGCAAATTACCCTCAAGATATAACAAACCTTTGAACACAATATCTAGCAATAATATTGAGTTTCATAACATTTATTTAAGTCTGTAAATTTTTTGGAGAATTAATAAAGGCAGAGGTGTCATTTTATTAATGAATGCATATTGTTTAAATATTACAACCATTCACATAAAGGTACCTTTCCAATGTAAAGGTATCTTTTCATGGATTAATACACCTATTATAATAGTTATATCTATTGCTAATTGATGTTCAGATATGTATGAAAACATATCACCAATGAATGTAATGTTTCGAAAAGTTTTAGATCACATAAACTCATGAAAATATTGTTTTATGCACAATTTTTACTGCAGCGAGTATTTTTCCGCTGCAGTCACAAACGGACCCGAGGCCTGCAAACATTTCGACTACAGCCAAAATATTTTGACTGTAGCCGGTTTGGCCGAACCAAAGCAGTTTGTCCGCTATGCATTTCGATGTCCCTTAAACACGCATTTTTCATGTTTTAACACTCAAACAACTTGTGATCTTGATCAAGACATATTACAATCTCTCTAACAATCCCCCACTAGATTGTAATATTTCTCCAGAATTAAGAACGATAAACACACACATACATGAAGGTGTCTTTCAATTTTAACCTCCAATTAGTGACTATACTTCAAAGTATTCACAAGACAACAGTGTGCTTTGCATTAAACTTTATCTCTTAAGCAAATACCGGAAATATATCACATATGTATTATCTCAAACTTAAAATATGTTCAAATCATTTAGCACTATTCCGGCCTTGTGCTCTATCTTGGATTCATGAATATTTACAAGACTAAACCACCGTCTTGTTAGGAACGGCAGCATGTCTTATGTTCACTTAGGTTGAGTTTTGTAACACGTCGAGAAATTAAACGAGATTAATTAAGGTAATTAAGATTTATTAATGTGTCTAATCTGGTATAAATTAAATAATTATTGTTTGTTAAATGTTTCTGGCGTTTAAATTTAAATATTTTCAAGGTATTTAAATATTTTTAATAATTATATTTTTGCTCCAGAGTGTGTGTAGACACATTTTCTGGACTATCTTTTAAATATTTTGACACCTATCTTTTTCCTTTTTCCTTTTCCTTTTTATTTCTTCTTTTTCCTTCTTTTCCTTTCTTTTCTCGTGCACTCTCTCCCTCTCCTTCATTGTCGTTTCACTCACTCTCTCATGCGTTCCTCTCTCTCCCGTTCAAATCTTCACCAAATCAACCGGATTTCGAACCAAATAAGAATTTCAAGTAGTTTTTAACGTCAAGAGAAGGATTTGAGATAAGATTTCTGAAAAAACCTCTCTTGAATATCAAATTTTTCAGATTAGAAAACTTATTTTGGTTCGTAATGGATTTTTATGGATTTTGAGTAAAATCATGGTCGAAATTGGGGATCTTTGGTTATATGGACTTGAGTTAGTAACTAGAACTTGGATTTGGTTGTTTTCCCTTAGAATGTTTCGGATTTGAACTTTGAAATTTGCAGGAATTGGAGTTTTCTTCGCAGTTCGGTCATTTTTCCACGAATTGCAGATTCCCACCGGTTGACCGGTCCAGTTGACCGGATCCTTCTCCACCGGCCGACCGGTGGAGAAAAATCTCTCTATCACCGGTCGACCGGTGCACACGGGGTTTGACCCTGTTTTGCTTAAAAATCTTATTTTTACCTCATTTTTTGAAGAGAACCCAAATTAGCTTCATTTAGGGATCTAGAGTAGATGGATTAGCGTCTTTAATCCATGTTTTAGAATCAAAATCCTTGGAATGATGATTTGAAACATAAAAATGATTTATGAAACTTAGCATTGGATTAAGGCATACACTAATAGGAAATCA